AATTTTCTCATTAATTTTAAAATTTAAGAATAATTTTTTAACATGCACCATGCAATAATTTAAAATATTTCATTCCAAATTATGCATAAATTCGTTATCGATATATTATCAAAGTAATAATACATTAGAATTTGTTGGTGTAAAGCGCGTTACAGTAACACACACGTAAAAGAAATAAACAGGCAAACACATTAGTCACTAAAGTCAACGCTGACCTCAACACTGCACTTTGAACCCCTAGCTGAAATTAGGTGACTTCTGTATAAATTGGGCTATTTTATATGTGGGTTATAATAAAAATAATTCCTTCCCCTTATTTTCAGTCATCTTAGTTAGTTATTATGTTTGATTTATATAAATATACTTTTAAATTATTTAGCATCTATAAATATTATATATTTCTTGATTGAATTTGTGACCTAAGTCAAGTGATTTGTAACAATTTTTTAAGTGCATTTATGTAAGTTAACTACATAAAAATTGGCATGGAAACGAAATGCTTTGTATTTAGGTTCGGATAAAAATTTTGGAACAAAAATGGCTTAGAAATTATCTTCCATAATTGTCTTCCATCGGTCTCTCTTTCATTACCAAATTTATCTTGAATTTAAGGATAACACAAATCTTTTTTTTTTTCCTTATTTCATTTTACTAAGGATTTTATAATTCATAATTTTTTTTTAAATTATTTTTTCAAGTTGGTGAATTTTAGCCCATTTTTTAGTACGTGTCTTTGTTTGTGTAATGAATAATGATGAACTAAAATTATATATTATAATCATATTAACAATTTAATTAATGAAATCTTAACTAAACACGTCCATTATCTTAATTCTCATAAAGTTTGGCGCTTATCTTAATTATCATCCATTATTTTATTTTTTCAAGTTGATAATTTTTTGCCGATTCATCATTCTTTTTTTATTTTTTCAAGTTGATAAATTTTAACCCTTTTGTAGCTTGTGTATTTGTTTCTGTACTAATGAACTAAAATTACACATTATAATTATATTGATAATATAATCAATAGAATCTTAACCAAACAAATCCTTTATCTTATTGATTTACGGATGTCACAATTCATTATAAATTTGGACTTCGATAAGGATGAAACAATTGTAAGTAGAACTAATAATGTTAAGTATAAATAAATTTTTATAGAATTTGAAATAAAATAGCAATTTACAGTAGTTTTTGTTTTATGAAATTTCTATTTATTTATTTTGTATATACTTACAACAACAGAACTCTTTCACTTTTTTTGTTTAAATTATTTTTTATGCACCCATATAGTACACGGGTGTCGTGCTAGTTGTTTATTAAAGGAAAACAAAAAAGTGGTTATAGGTTCCGAGAACATTTGGGCCCTTTTATTTTTTCAATTGAGTTTGCCTCAAAATAATCCTTAAAGCCCATTGATGCTGGACTTTAGTAGCTTTCTCGATCTTCACAAATCGGTTGGCCAATGGGCTACGCTTATGGCTCTAGTACACACACCGACTTATTGTAAGTATTCTCAAAGGCTAAAATGTAAGGTCATCTCCAGTCCTTATTTCTGTTCTGACACGTATTTTATTCTATTCTACTCTAGTGTAGAGTGAAACACTCATTTTCAGACCTTATCTCTACATTTTTTTTTCGGAACGATAGAGATCATTATTAACTCAAAAAAAGGAAACAAAGTTCAAATACAGAACAAAACTACCGCAAATCAAAGACTGGGAGGAAGCGCATAAAAGCAGCCTAGAACCTCACCAAACTAGAAACAAATGAAAATGAAACTCAGGGAACATCTCCACTGCTAACAAGCCTAGAGATGCCTAAGAGCCATCAGAACAGGAAACCAAGAAAACAACTATCACA